CAGACGAGCAACGGACTCACGGGCGACTGGAGCAACGGGCTCACGGGCGACTGGCGCAACGGGCTCACGGGCGACTGGCGCAACGGTCTCACGGGCGACTGGAGCTGCTGGCTTCTCGGCGACGGCACAGAGAGTAGCAGTAGCAGTTGCAGCGGAAGCAACGAGGTGGTGAGCCCACCCACAGGATCGATCCAAGGGGATCGACCTGCTCTGATAACATGTGACATTTTAGAAGAAAGAAGAGAATTGCACTAGCAAGAATGAGGATACAAATAGCAAAACCTAGAAGGGTTGTACTCGCTATAGAGCACCCCATTACAGGCTAGAGCATAATAATCTGACACCAACTCCACGCCATCTTACTCGCCCAGACCAACCCACTTTTAACAGGCCTGTTTACCCACGGATACCGCACTGACCCATTCTTCACGACCGGAAATTCACAGCAACTGGCAGAAGCTAAAGGAGTTTATTACGTAAAAACAGGCACCAACCGCATCTGGGTACCCGCGTACTCACTACTGAGGGAGCTACTACTGCAGGAGGCACACGACGGAATTACCTCGGGACATTTTGGGGTAGAAAAAACGCGACAGCAACTACAGCGGTATTACTACTGGCCAGAACTGTTGACCGACGTACAGCAGCACGTGGGCTCGTGCCCCACGTGTCAGGTGATGAAGAGCTCAAGGAAGCGGAAGGCGGGTCAATTGCAGCCGATACCACCGCCCGAGCGCGCCTCGCAGCAGGTTACCATGGACTTCGTCACAGGGTTACCTTCGAACCCTGGGAGTAACTACACGGTGATGGTCGTCGTTGACAGGTTGACGAAGATGGCACACTTCGCTGCGTGCAAAAAGTCGATCTCAGCCGAGGAGACCGCTCGTCTGTTCATCGCGGCCGTTGTTCGCCTGCACGGGATACCAGCAGCGATTATCAGCGACAGGGACACGAATTTCACCAGCAACTTCTGGAAGAACCTCTGGGAGCAGTTCGGAACCAGGCTGCAGTTCAGTTCGTCGTACCACCCCGAGACCGACGGTCAAACGGAGCGGACGAATCAGACGATGGAGCAGTTGATTCGTGCCACGTGCGACGACCCCACGACTTGGGAGCAGCAGCTGCCGCTGATCGAGTTCGCGTACAATAATGCCACGTCAGCGACGACGCAGCAGTCCCCCTTCTACCTGAACTACGGGCAAAATCCTACAGGGCCCATGACGCCGAGTCTTGACAACCCAACACCACAAGCACAGCAATTCGCCGAAATTCTGCAAGCTGCCCGCACCAGAGCCGCAGAAGCAATTAAAAAAGCAAACGCCATCGCTAAGCGCAACGCTGACCGCCACCGCCGCCCAGTCACATACCAGTCAGGGGATTACGTACTGCTCGACACGCAAAATCTGCGACTGCCCGATGTACCAAAACTTCGACCGCGCTACTGTGGCCCATTCCAAATCAGCCACATGATCACGCCAGTAACCGCGCACCTACTGTTACCGACCGGCTGGTACATCAGCCCTTCGTTCCACGTCAGCTTGCTTCGCCCCTACATCCCAACCACAAGCCAACTGCCTCGCCACCGCCCGCCATCCATGACTCGCCCTGCATCGGAGCCGATCATCGAGCCCGAAAAAATCATGAGCCATTGGATTCGACACCCCACGGGACTCAAGAGGATTGAATTCCTCGTCCGCTGGAAGGATCGCACACCAACTGAGGACAGCTGGGTGCCCCTGGCCAACATCGAAAACCACCCTGCCCTGCAAGTGTACCTGAGGAGCTGGGGATTCCGCGATATACACGCACTCGCGTAGCGGAGGGGGCTTCTTGAGGGGGGGGGGGGGGGGGGGGGGGGGGGGGGGGTAGTGTAAGGAATTTTCTCGGCATTCCTTACGGAGGCCGACTACATCGCGTACAGCAACAACCGTTGTTCGCCCGTTACTGCTAACGGGGCTTCGCCGACTTCACGCACACTGTTTTCACCAAACCTCGCACTGCTGGCATGGCCGTGTCGGCCTACGCTTCGGGACTAGCCCAAGCCTTGCTCGAGCGTAGCACTAGCTAAGCTCGCACGCACCGCGTTACCGTTTGCATGTTTCGCGTATAAATGTTCGCTCATGCCTTCGCTCACATTTGGTACTCGTTTGACACCTTAGTGCAATTCTCGCTACTTTGATTCATTGCACCCGTAACACCGTTCAACATTGTGGTAGAATTTCTCTAGCGTGGAGGGAATCTGATATGTGAGTTGGGCCAGAGCCCATAAAACTCATGTCTTGTACTACCTAGGAAGATATTTCTATATATGAAAGTGTACAGCGTTGCGAAACAGAAACGAAAGGACTGTGTCTTAGGGCGTGCTACATTTTCGGTTTTTTCCAAACGGACCGGACCGTCTGAACGGTCAAATTGGTTTTTTTTGTTAAACGTTTTGTTCAAGTGGGTTTCAGTTTGTTTCAGAGTGGTTAATGTCCGGACCGCACGGAAAAATCGAAAATGTAACACGCCCTTATCAATGCAATTCGCTTGCCATTTTCGGTGCAATTGCCCCGTCCATTCAACTGCATTCACGCTCCCTTCCGCCCTCACCATCCTCCGACCGACCGACCACCAACCTCTCGCTCACAGCACCGCTCCCAGCCACTCCGCGTGCGCCTCGATGAGAGGAGGTAAACCAATCAGACGCACGCAATCTGCGGTCCGGACAGAAATTTCCGAAATTTCTAGCTCCACCGCACAAAAGCCTTGCAATTCCAAGGTCTCCACGCAGTCTCGCAGGAACATATAAATTGAGCACCAGAAAAGATCTGGGCGTCAACTCTCACAACGCAACCCAAATCAGCATTCCAGCACCACACTACCTCAGACACTGATAACAACAACTCGTGCACACATTTCGTCGCACTCACCGATCATAGCGATTTTCGTTCCAATCTTAGATTGTTAAGCGAACAGCGCCTCCCTGAGCTCTCTTCAACCACTTACTAGTACTCAATCTTCGATTAAAAAAATAGTAGCTCGACACTCATCATGGCACGCACAGCAGCTCCTTCCACGCTACTCGGGCTTGTCGCTCTGGTCCTCACAGGTGAGCCACTTCGCCAAGCCAAGCTATTCAGCACCAGAGAGCACCTCTTCACGCGCTACACATGAACAACATGTATGTCACGAACTTTCAGTCGCATTTTGTCCTCGGAAACTCATCTTTCTTCGTTTTGTCATTCAATCCAGTGCTTTTGGCAACACCACGAGTCGAAGCTGGCCGATTTCTTCCCGGCGTCGGAAGTCTACCCACCAACCGTCTTCCACCCGGCTTGAATTCAGCCGTCGCGGCGGCCGTCGCAGCAGCAAGCAGCAGCAGCCCCGCAGCGGCGTTCAACTCGACGCTCTCAGGCCTCCAGTCGTCCCTCAACGGCCAGATCACATCTCTCGACGCGCTTCTCGAGAAATCGCTCGATCAGATCTCGGCGGCCCTCAGCAGCAACGCTTCCGCAGACGCTGCACTCCAGGCGCAGATATCCGCGCTAAAATCCAACCTCGCTGCTTTAAACGCGAGCCTCGTTAATCTGAACGCGCTGAACATCTCAGGGTCAAATCTGAACTTCACGGATCTGATTTCCCAGATCTCGGGGATTCGATCCAACATTTCCTCCATCAGCACCAGCATCGCCGCTCTGAACAAGGACCTGGCGGGGATAATCGGCTCGGGAGTAGGCTCGGGCGCAGGCTCGGCCTTAGGCTCACGCGTAGGCTCGGTGGGCTTGTCTAGTGCAGCCACCGCTGCGGCTTCCGCGAGCCGGAGCGCGGCGATCCGCGCGGCGGTGAGGCAGCGGCTGGCGGCTGTGACGCAGCGAGTGGCAGGGCTCAACGGGAACGTGTCCGCCCTCGCCGGGATGCTCAACGCCTTGAATTCCGCTCTCAACGGCGCTGGAGTCAATAGCAGCGTGGTGGGGAATATCGCGAATCTTCTGCCCCAACAGGCGGGCATGCTGCGTGCCGTGCTGACGTCATGCAACGGCCTGCTGTCTCTCCAAGCCGGCGCTGCTGACATTCAGATCCTCAAGATGTAAGTTGACTCTTGCTGACTCATGCTGATTCGTGTTGACTCGTGCTGACTCGTGCTGACTCGTGTTGACTCGTGCTACTCAGATCGTTCAAACCTGCTGACTCATGTTCCCTTCCACCTCCCTCCATCCACCTCCTCACCTCCCCCCCAATGCAGTGGCTCGGACTATCTGCTCACATACTACCTGTACGTAGCAGGAGTGACCAAGGCCCCGGACTCGCAGGCCATCTTCAAGGGCAACGCCTGCGGCACCGCTGCTGCTTCAGCAGCCCTCGCCCTGCCTGGCACGTGGGTGCCCATGAGCCCTGTGTCCTGGTCGCTGGCCAATGTCGTCAGGGCGTCAGCTGCTGACGTGGCGGATGTGCTGGCATCGATCCAAGGGATCACCAATGATGACCTGTACTTCGGATTCTCCGGTGCTGACGGGGCACTCTCAGGGAGAGTGATCGGTGGAAGGGTGTGACTTGTACTGCATTCCAACAAGGACAGTCTATGATGATGGGGGTGGTGTGGGAACATTGCAGAAGCACCTCTCATGCATGCACCTACACTAGGAAATACCGTATGTGCAGCTAGGTAACGTAATACATTAGGCTAGGAAAGAGAATGCTTTTGTAATGTTCCATTCCATCAGAAAGAGTTTCTTCAATGACATTAGAGTTGCTCACTAGACGAACCAACACGGCAACAAGGACAGTCGCATTTTTCATGGCCTCACTTTCAAGGCCTTGTGCTCACACGAATCCGGGAGGGCATCAAATGCAGCAGGAGAATCAAGACTTACGGTAGTAGAACTGTGCAGCAGGAGTGCTTAGAGCAGTGTCCTTCCCCACCTCCACCCGTCACACACCCTCCATTGAGCACTAACTATGGCAGCAGAGAATGAACCAACCGCAGCCGCATCTGGAGCAGCACCAGCAGCAGCGCTGCTTCACACAGAGCCCCCATCGAAGAGAACCAGCTGTGGCAGCAGGGAAAGAACCAGCTGCCGATACCCATCCCACTGACAAACAGGATTCCCCGTCAAATCAAGCACTGCCACCTGGCGCAGCCCGCCCAGGCATTGCAGCACCGTCCACAGGTTCGGATGCTGCTGAACCAGATCCACTGTTGCTGCTGCTGCTGCTGCTGCTTCGGCAGACGAGGAAACTTCGTCCCCCGTGCTGTTACTTGGCATGTTCCAAGAGGGGAACCGGTTGCATCGTGGGGAGGGGTGGCAGTAGCGGTGGCGGTCAACTGGTTTGCCTCCCAGGAGGTTGTGAGCCAGGGAGAGAGCGCGGAGGGCGGGCAGGTGGGCGAGAGGAGCGATGGCTGATGAGAAGGCGATGCTGTTGTGAGAGAGGTCCAGGACTTGCAGATTCTGAAGCGCCTCAAAACCTGGAGGATGGAAGGGGGAGGGGATGGGAGGGAACAGATGGGAGAAGTGAACAGACGGGAGGAGAGGGGAACAGATGGGGGGGGGGAGGGAAGCAACCATGGAGAGGGGTGGCAATATTGGTGGTGGCGGGAGCATCGTGGGGAGGGGTGGCAGTAGCGGTGGCGGTCGACTGGTTTGGCTCCCAGGAGGTTGTGGGCGAGGGAGAGAGTGCGGAGGGCGGGCAGGTGGGCGAGAGGAGCGATGGCTGAGGAGAAGGCGATGTGGTTGTGGGAGAGGTCCAGCACTTGCAGATTCTGAAGCGCCTCGAATCCTGGGGGGGTTGGGCGGAGGGAGCTTGCGCAGATAAGTGTTGGGATGTTACCAGAGCATGCAGAGAGGGGAGTTGGGCGAGAGGAGCGGCGCACCTGTGAGGGTGGAGATGCGGTTGTGGTCGAGGAGCAGCGTGGAGACTGGCAGCAGACTGCTGCAGGTGTTGTGGTGCGGTTGTGTGCGATTCTTTTGTGACTACTTTTTGGGCGACACACCTGTGAGGGTGGAGATGCGGTTGTGGTCGAGGAGCAGCGTGGAGACTGGCAGCAGGCGGTGGGACGCTGGCAGGCAGGAGAGGTGCCGATGGGACAGACACACTGTGGTGGTGGTGGTGCTGATGCTGGTGCTGCTGCTGCTGCTGCTGCTGGAGGTGTTGGTTGTGTTTATTGTGGTGGGTGTGTCCTGATGGGGTGAATTGGAGATGGGGGCAATGGGAGGAGGTGCAAAGATGTGTGAGACAAACGAGGGGACAAGATTGAAAACCTAAGGTCCGGTTAGACACACACGGGCTTTCACCCCCAGGTGAGCGCTCACCCCCCACGTGGGGCACTCACTCACCCCCACGTGGGGCACTCACTCACTCCCACGTGGGGCACTCACTCACTCCCACGTGGGGCACTCACTCACCCCCACGTGGGGCACTCACTCACTCCCACGTGGGGCACTCACTCACCCCCACGTGGGGCACTCACTCACTCCCACGTGGGGCACTCACTCACCCCCACATGGGACACTCACTCACCCCCACGTGGGGCACTCATTCACCCCCACATGGGACACTCACTCACCCCCACGTGGGGCACTCACTCACCCCCACGTTGGACACTCACTCAACCCCACGTGGGACACTCATCCAAACACCCTCACCTCATTCACACACCCTCCTCACCTCCTCTCCCTCCAGTGCTTCTAGCAGGTCCCGGTAATACTCCTGGTGATATGGACCAATCCCCACCAGCCAATGCTGTTGCTGTTCCTCACCTCATTCACAACCCCAATTCTTGCACACACACCCTCACCTTTTCACACACTCTCCTTACACACACTCTCCGTACACACACCCTTACTCACCTCATCCCCCTCCAGCGCTTCTAGCAGGTCCCGGTAATACTCCTTGTAGTATGGATCGACCCCCACCTTTTGACCAGAGTCGACACAGACATCATGCTCCTCTTAGACACACACCCTTACTCACCTCATCCCCCTCCAGCGCTTCTAGTAGGTCTCGGTAATACTCCTTGTGGTATGGGTCAATCCCCACCAGCCGTCGAAGCAACGACCGAACCTCTTCACAAGCCTCGGCATCTTGCCGAGCCTGCACGGGTAGGTTCGGCAAGAGGTGGTGGAGCTGGCGGCGTGTGGAGAGGAGGCGGGCGAGAGAGAGGAGAGCCCACTTGCTGGAAGAGCGAGGAGAGGGGGGGGGGGGGAAGGGGTGGAGGGGGGAGGGGGGAGAGTAGGAGGACATTTGACTCAATGAGTGGAGAGGAGGCGGGAGAGAGAGAGGAGAGCCCACTTGCTGGAAGACGATGGTTGAAGGGTTGGAAAGGGGCGGAAGCAGGGAGGGGGGAATGGGGGATTGTTTCAGTTGACTCAAGAAGTGGAGAACAGGTGGGCGAAGGAGGGGATAGCTAACTTGCTGCAAGCAAGGGGGAGCAGGACGGGAAGGGGAGCGGGGTTTTGGGTTTGAGAGTGCGAGAGAGGAACCGAAGCTGGAAGCAGGAGGAAAGGAGACGGGATACGAGAAATGGGTTGAGCTATTCTTCTTGGTGTTGGAGGGACCACACCACACAGGCACGGCATGGTCCAAGTCACACGACACATCGCACTGCATACCACGCACACACCTGTCTGGTTCCAGGTCAATGAGCTCACGACACATGTCAATCTCCCGTTGGACCACATCCACTCGCCACTGCTCGCTCCCTCCTGCAGCACCACCAGCACTAGCGGCAGCACCACTGGCAGCAGCATCGCCATCAGCAGCAGCAGGCGCAGCAGGAGCAGGAGCAGCAGCAGCAGCAGGGGGAGGAGGCGAAGGGGAGGAGGAGGGCCAGCGGAAGTTGGACCAGTCATGAGTGGGGAAGTTCACGGGCGGCACAGTCGCTTGCGAGTGAGTGCCATTGGTCTCAGAAACATCCATCTGTGGCAGAATCAACGAGCTTCCTTGCAGCTGTAGCGTGAAGCTGCTGCTGCCGTTGCCATCGTTGCTGCAGGTTCTGTCCGTGTGGGGGAGCAGGAGGGACTGGCAAGTGGCAGCAGAGCGGATGGCAGATGGATGGGCGAACACCCACGAGACCAGGATGGTGGGTGATGAGGCAGCCGCACCTGTTTCCCTCCCACCCGCAGAAGCAGCAGAAGAAGCAGCATCAGTAGCTGCAGTGAAAGCAGCATCAGTAGCTGCAGTGGAAGCAGCAGCTGCTCTAACTTCATGAGATGTGGAGCAAACGACTTGCGCCATCCATACAGACGCACTCTTCGGCCCCACATCACCGCCCGTTTCCCTCTCACAGCCAGACTGCCGCCCGGAAAGCCACGCCTCTTCGCCCCCCACAGCCCTCCACTCGCCCACCTCCATCCCAGCCCCCATTAGAGTCACACTCTCTCTTGTCACCCCCACCACAGGTTCGGAGAACACCAGCACCGCCGACATCCGAACCTGCCTCGGAGCTCTGGGAGAAGATTCGGAAACGCCCTCCCCAGCTGCAGAATCGCCTCCAGAAGATTTCTCAGGTGGATTTTCAGGTGAGGAGTAGCAGACAGTGCTTCCAGGCGAAGGCCAGGAGGAGAGGAGGCGGGGCGGCAGGGGCGGCAGGATCTGCTGCAGCAGCCAATGCTGGTACATCCACCCACTCTGATCCTCTGGCTCCGTAAAGAAGGCCTGGCGCACCAACTCACACTCCTCCTCCAATGCTGCCTGCGGCAACCCCTTTGCCTCTGGTGCAGTGGGCGTGGTTGGTGGTGGTGGGCACGCGTGGAGCATTGGTAGCAGCTTGCTGTTGGGCGGAGCGAAAGGGGGAAGAGGGAACGCAAAGGGGTTGAGAGCGGAGGGGAAGAAAACTAGGGCGGCAGGGGCAGCAGGGGCGGCAGGGGCGGCAGGGGCGGCAGGATCTGCTGCAGCAGCCAGTGCTGATACATCCACCCGCTCTGGTCGTCAGGCTCGGTGAAGAAGGCCTGCCGCACCAACTCACAGGGCTGCCTGGGATAGTCCTGGCTAAGCAATATTAGAGAGTTCTAAAAAATCGCTCACACGGTTTAACTCACAGGGCTGCCTGGGACAGCCCTGGCTTGGACGCAGCTGTTTCTCTCCTCCCTCCTCCCCTGCCTCGTCTCACGTCCTGCTGTGCCACGCGCTGTAGTTGCTGAAGTTGGCGCTGATTCGATTTGATGCATGGTGAAGAGCATAAGGCCAGGTCCTTGGTTGCTCACAGACGAAAGAAGTTGGTCAGGTCCACCCTATACCTCCTAGCACCCTTTGAGCAGGCGTGTCCTAGCTGAATGACTCACCTGCGGCTGTGCCACGCGCTGTAGTTGCTGAAGTTGGCGTTGATTCGCTCCATGGTGAAACCCAAGTCCTTGGATGGTGACATGCGGGCCACATGTGACATGAACCTGGTTGCATGCATGGTTGGGTTGGGATGGGCACGGGCAGCATGAGTGACGAAGCAAGGACGGTACTGAGTGGAACGGAAACAAGGAGAGGGTTTCTGAGAGGTCCATGAGATGGGTGGAACTGAGAAGATGAGATGGGTGGAACTGAGAAGATGCGATGGGTGGAACTGGATGGTGGCAGGCGAGCAAGGTTGTAACCCCACAGCATCTGCATCACCACCCACCCATCAGCACCACTCTCAATCCCTACAACATCTCCAGTAGTCCAAGGCATGGAAATTCCGATCATCTGCTCTCAGCATCAACCTGCAATATCACCATACACACCCATCATCACCCCTCACCACCGTTACCTCCAGTAGTCCCAGGCGTGGAAGTTCCGATCATCGGCACTCAGCATCATCCCCAGCAACTTCCGCATCACCACCACCCATACCCATCAATACCGCTCTCAATCCCTCTCTCACCTCCAGTAGTCCCAGGCGTGGAAGTTCCGATCATCGGCACTCAGCATCATCCCCAGCAGCTTCTGCTCCCGGGCGATCCGAGCCTCCGTCCGCAGATTGATCCGAACCTGCTGCAGGCTCGGCCCGAGGTTGGCTCCGAGGCTCGGGAGAGGCTCGGTGGAGGAGAGGGCGAAGAGCCACTTGCGGTGGTGCCAGGCGCCGTAGCACTTGGGGTTGGTCCGTAGGGCTGCTTCTATCTGTTGCGAGTGTTTGGAAGAAGTTGGGTTGGAGAGGGAGAGTTGAAGGATACATTTCTGAGGTGACTCAAGAAGCCACTTGCGGTGGTGCCAGGCCAGGCGCCGTAGCACTTGGGGTTGGTCCGTACCGCTGCTTCTATCTGTTTTGCATGTGTGAGGGAGAGTAGCAATGGAGGGGGGAGGGGATGAGTTAAGAGGAGGGGTGGGGGGTTGGTTTGAGCCAACCTCCTCATCCAGTCCAGTGTAGTATTGGCAGACTCGCATGTTGTGCCAAACGTACTATTGGTCACTCAAAACCACTCACCACTTTCAGATCTTCGTCCGTTTTTTCGAATTCTCAGGAGCGACTCAGTGAGTGTAGCCTTGTCAGACTCGCAAGTTATGCCAATCGTACCATCAGTCACGCCGTTTACTCACTCACCAGCTTCAGCTCTTCGTCTGCTAGCTTCCCCTTAGCTTCTTCGATCTTCCGTTCCTCTATCTTCCGTTCCTCTATCTTCCGTTCCTCTATCTTCCTTTCCTCTATCTTCTTCTCTTCTTCCTTCCTCGCCTTTTCCTCTCGCTCCCGTTCCACCCTCTCCTGCTCCTCTCCCTGCTTCCCATCATTCTCCCCCCCAACTTCACTCTCTCCCCTCTTGTCACCCCTCCCTCCTGCACTCTCCGCCTCACCCATTGCCCCATCCGTCCCCACCTCTCCCTCCCCTGATCCCCCCTCTCCCTGCGCCTCTTTCCCCCCCTCCCCCTGCCCCTCTTTCCCCTGCGCCTCCTTCTCCCCCTCTTTCACCTCCGAACCCCTCTGCACCGCTTTCCCCTCCCTGCTCCCACCCTCCCCTGCCTCCAGAGCGCCGCATCGGTGGGCAAACGCCTTCTTGCGGTAGTTCCACGTCACATACACGTCAGGGTTTTGTTCTAAGAGAGCAGCGCTGGTGGCTAGTGCTTCTGGCGAGTAACTGAAAGGCAAAGAGGGAGGGGAGAAGGAGAAGGAGGGAGCCTTCTTGCGGTAGTTCCACGTGACATACACGTCAGGGTTCTGCTCTAGGAGAGTTGCGCTGGCTGCTAGAGCCTCAGGCGAGTAGCTGAAATCAGGAAAAAAAGGGAAGAGGGGGGGGGAGGGGGGAAGGCCATTTTTAAGTGGGGAAAAAGAGGTAGTTCCACGCCACGTGCACATCGAGGTTCTGCTCCTGCAGAGGAAAAAGGGAGGAGAGGGAGGTGGAAGGGGGAAGCGTTCTTGCGGTAGTTCCACGCCATGTACACACTGAGTGTCTGTTCCTGCAGAGCAGCGCTGGCGGCTCGGCTAGTAATGAATGAGGGGCAGATGGCGGCTAGTAATGAATGAGGGGCAGATGGCGGCTAGTAATGAATGAGGGGCAGATGGCGGCTAGTAATGAATGAGGGGCAGATGGCGGCTAGTAATGAATGAGGGGCAGATGGCTCGTACTCGTACTCGTACTCGTACACGTACACGCTGCTCTGCTCCAGCAGAGCAGCGCTGGCTGGTGGAGGGAGGAGGAGGGGTGTGGGGGGGAGCTTCTTTGTGGTAAATCCATGGAAACGCGATGCGGGGAGCTGAGGTGCACGGCACTGCACTGCGCTGCACCCTGTAAACCCTGTGTGATGAGTCGATTTTTGAGTCGATCCATGACTCAAAAATCGACTCATCACACGCGGACTATATGCGGGGAGCTGAGGTGTGCACGGCACTGCACCCTGCAAACCCTGATGACTCTCGAGTCGACTCAAAAGCTCCGTGCAAGTTTGATCTCTGCAAAATGCCACTTACGCAAGCCGCCTTACCAGTGGTATGTTAGCGTTCCCCTCAGCCACTCACACGTTCTGCTGGTGCCACGTCAGCACCTTCTCCTGCAAGGCGCGCAGCCGAAGCGCCTTCTTGTTCGACTCCGCCGCCTTCTGCTGTCCCGCCGCGCTGCCCTCTGCCTTCACCGTCACTCGCGGTCGACCGTGCATCGCGACGATCGACGGTCGACGCTCAACGATCAACGATCAACGAACAACGGTCACGACGCTTGACGCTCGTATCACTGATTTAGATCGTTGTTTAGCTAATCAAATTGATCTGGATCCTAGATCATGCCTGATTATCTCCTTGCTTCGTACACAAACCGCCTTCGCCGTCAATCGCGGTCGACCGTGGATGTCCCCGATGGCTCGCAATCTCAAACATACACCATTGCGACCATAGCTACAATATTCAGGCTCCCTGTTTTTAAAACAGCGTATCAAATCCCAATCATATGAGCCCCCAAGAAAGGTTGCCGGCTGCTATCAGGCCAACGTGTGAACGCGAGATCCGAGCTACGACGAGAGCAGCTCCGAGCATAACCACGCGAAGGAACTAGTAGGGCTTAGAGGTACTTCGGTGAAATGGCGGAGGATCAGAAAGCTCTCGCGGTCTGGAGCGAGCACTCCAGGGGGGCTTGTGTGTGGGGCGCAGCTGCGCGGGACACGACGGTGTCAGAAAGCTGTCGCAGAAATGGCAAATGGCGATTATCACTGCTCCATGCCATAATGGAGCCTGGCGATCGGATTTATCGATTTTGTCTGAGTCGTTACAGTTTACGGTAGGTTTGTTTAGAGATAATGGTGCCAAACTGAACGCTCTATTTTGATGAGTGCAAAAGTGGCACACAAACCAAGAATCTTCTTACTACTATAATTAGCAAAAGGACAACACAAATACTTGAATTACATATGCAGATATAAAATTCAGGGTCCAAAACTCAAAATAAACCCCTTTATTCTTGACTGAATGTGAATGTGACTTAGCAACCATAGCAGGTACTCCTCCCAACAAGGAGTTGGAGCAGAACAAGACATGCCAATAAGAATTTCAGTTCCAGTACCCATCATCCTGTGCTTGAATTTGGCATGAATTAGTAATCAGGTCCCAGTTACCTTCAACCATGAACCGCATCCCATCGTTCCCAACCATGTTGTAGTCATACGTATTACCATCACCATCAGTGTCCTGTGAAACATCTCCATACTGCCACACGCACATATCGGCATTCTCTTCGCCGTCCGAGGCCATCCATCCGGACGAGACGTCTGGGTTGGTAGCAGCCTCGGTGACTTCGTGAGCAATCGTGGAGATCATGCCGTCAATTCCTGGCATGCCATTGGGCGTGACGCTGGATGGGTTTGGGGATGTGGAATACGGTTGGTAAGAGATGGATTTGGGCTGTGGTGCTGAAAGCAGTAGTCGAGTTGGTGGAATAGTAGTTGAGAATTGGAAAGGGAAATGATGTTCACATTCTCGTAAAACACGGAGCCGAGACTCACTCGCCGTATTTGCAGCACAGGTCGTGGTGCCCTATGAAACCAATAGCGACATTTTCCCCCGAATCCAAAGTATGAGAGGTGTGGAATCCGCAGAATTCGTCACAGAATCCGTCAACCTTGACGTCAGCACTCGTGAGAACGAGATAGATTCCGTCAGTGTCTACAGGCAGCTCCGTTCCGACGTGCGTGCTGACGACTGGCGAAGAAAAGGGGGGATGGACGGAGCGGCGGGGGAAAGGGGAGGGGTTTGGGATGAAAGGGTGCGGGGGAAGGAAAGGGCTGGGGGGGAGTGGATGGGTGGGTGGAAGCGGATGGGTGTGGTGAGTGAAAAGGTGGGGTTGAGGAAGTAAGTTTGAAATACGAGAGGGAACAGGGAATGATGGCATAGCATGACAACGAAGCGAGCAACGCGGTTCCAGCAGAAAAATCACACGCATGACTCACTCGTCCCCAAATCGATGGATTCCCAGCCGTTGGATCCCTCGTCTGTCACCGTGCCGCCCAACACGATATGACTCGGATTCGGGTGAGGGTGTCGGGTGTAAAAGTAGTGAGCCCGAATAGTATAAGCACATGAAGCGAAAATGATGCGATTCGAGAGGAGTAGCAGGCGACCATCGCATGTTTGTAAGTGCACAAAAAATGCAAATGCACGGGGCACGGGGGCACGGGGCACGAACACACTCACCTCGGGACTGACGAACGTCTGAGAGCCGTCGTCGTTATTCTGGTAGTAGTTGGTCGAGATGACCCACCACCGTCGCACACTGTTCTCCCCCGTCTGGTCCCCCTGGTTCCCCGTCATCGCGGAAAAGGGAACTGCAAAAAGCAACTCGAAAGTTACTGCCACGTTACTTTAGGGTTGCATTTCTCCCGCAAGAAAAAAGTCAAGGTTCAAAATCGTGGGTGCTGTAGTGACTTGCGATGCAAATTTTCTGTCACTAAATCGACAGAAATAGCATACACTGACGCAACTAACCCGGTATGCAGTAAATCAACCTCAAAGTTGCGGAAAGTCACTTCTCAGCAACCACAGCGAAAGTGTTACGAGAACGCCACGTGGCATTATGACGTACTCGAGATGAAACTGAAACATGATGGCGTGGATGGCAATGTACGCTAACGACAACCGTCGGATCAGATTCATATCGACGCACGAAATTTTGGCACATGGACCAATCGTAGGCGTGCGATACATAACTGTTATTGGCTAGCGATTGGAACAGTGACAGTTTTGATTGACGCTTCTCGTTCATGGGTATTCGTTTCTCAGCACGGATAGAAAATGTCAATAATAATGATTCTCTTACAAGGCTGCAAATGTACAATCTACCCAACCTTACTAGTACTACTACGCATAATGCACAGGTAAGATGATGTGTGAACTCTGTTAATAAGAATATGGACGCAGCCTGCAGAAACAGAGGAAAAAGACCTTGTTAAAAAATCACAACAAGATTGTCATTCCACCACTCACCATTATGGTTACTAAGGATTTTGGTTGACAGTGGAAGGGGGTAACAGGTTGGCCCTGCAAAACATGCAAACACAACTTACTGTAACGCATCTCTGCAAGAAGAAAATCTCTACAAGTTAAACGGATGTAAACTGGAAAAAAAGACATGAAAACTTGGTTAACAAGTACACCAAGTTTGCGTTTCCAATACTCACCATTGTGGTCAGTACTAATGGGTAGTGTTGAACAATATGCATAGCGCGATACTGGTTGACGATAAGCATGCAGTAACCGGGGCGCCCTGAAAAAAACGCATACGGTAATGCGAGTATCGACATCTATAATCCTGCTAGTAAAAAAGGTAAGCGATGACGTTCACATGTGTGAAACCTGCACCCACAAGGTTGTTGTTACGCACGTCTCTGAGCTTGTTCCAGAAGGGTTAGTGATACCCACGGAAGCGAAACACCAAATGCATCGTACTTACATTTTGCATAGTCGGTTGCGGCTGCTCTAACTCCGATGGTTACGCATGGCGACGAGTGAGATGCTGGACAGGGTTAGTCTCTAACCGAATATATGAAGTAGATGCAATCGTAAGAACCAAGAAGGTAACATTACTTGGGACTGCAAACATAGGACACATGGCGAAGACATAAAAAAAACATACTTCAGTGATATTTAAGTACCTTGCCAATTGTTAAAGAAGTAGCTGCTGGAACGGCGCCTAAACGTAAAAAATTGCGTGCATGTTCTCCACGAAAATGTTGAAACTCGTCGACCTGAAAAGGGGAATGTTTTGGTAAATGGAAGGGGGGAAGTCATGAATGAGGCTCTGACGTGGGCTCTGACATGCAAATGTTCAATAGGTTCCATCACAACAAGAATGCTAGTCTGGTGACCATTGGAAAAAGAAATGGGAGGGGTGAGACGGGGTAGGTTATGGGTATTACTACGGGAGGTACAGGTGTTAAGGGGAATCATGGGAGAAAGGTGGAAGCGGTAAAGCTGAAGGAGTATTGGGCGGACGTTTTGGGTGGGTTTCCTCGGGTGTGCTGACGTGTACCTATTGGAAGGTGCAGATTGATTGACTCTTCATAGCAGAACAATGATTGGTTCAAATTGATTTGTTGGCTCCCACGTCACACCTCCAAAGAAACCATTTGCCGTTTGTGGGTTGGGTTGGGTGGTTGGGTTCAGATTTGAGAAAAAACGAAAACGATGTATCCACGTTTGTAACCTCGCTAGATTTCGTGGGGTCGTTCAGTTTCGTAAAATTTGTTGTTACCATGGCCACTGTCAGCGTTACACTGCCAAAACGCTTTCAAACTCTCTCAACCGCGCAAAACCGAGTGACTCGTAAATGTTGACGGAACTGCAACTTTGCGGTCACATTTTTCCGCATTCGCAATTAGTGTACAGAAAGTCGCTTTTTGCGTGCGTTGTTTTTTTTACACTTCGCGCAACTCAGTCGCAGGTTTTTTCGCAGAAAAACCTTTGAGCCCCCAAAATCGCAATTATCCTTTTCCGCGATGGTATCCCCGCCCAGCGAGTTTATGAAATTCTCAATCACATCCTGCCCGACCCCCTCGGGCCAGGTCCCATAGTAGATTAAGTACACCTTCGGGTAGGCCAGTATCGGGCCACCCTGGTTCGCAATGTCCATCGCACCCTCCAGCTCGCGCCGCTGCAGCTGGTGCTGCAGCTTTCCGAGGCGCAGCCTGAGAGGGACGAACCGCGTCGCGGACGAGCTCTGGGCAGTTACAGTGGAATTTGGCACTATTGCGTATGGCGACACGGCGGTCCGCGCAGATCTCGCGCCACGCAGGGGAATGAGCCTTGCCCCAGGAGGGGCGGCGGAAGCGGTGGCGGAAGGGAGAGGTGAGGGCTGCTGGTCCCCCGCCGGAGGTGCAGAGGCGCTGTGTGGCCGCAATGCGGGAGTATCAGAGGGATCTACGGAGATCTGGTCGCTGGGTCCCCGCATTACACGCCGCATTGCCCTACGAGGAATACCAAATTTCAGCCCAGCCATTGTAGGTGTCCCTACACTTGATTCGCGGCTGCCGAGGGCGTGGGAAACCGCTGCTAGCATCGCTATGAGTGCGACCAGAAAGGTAAGGGTCGATCTTGTGGAAAATGCACCCATCGTTGGTCCTATGAGTCAATGCTGTGAATCCAGCGAACCGGAGAGACGGACCAAGACGGTAAGCTTTGGGGAGACTCTTTGCAAGACCGGCGGCAGCGGGATGGCACCGAGATAGCGCGTCGATGCGACGACAAAGTGTGTCCGACGACGGAACGCGATTAGCGGTGGCTTACTAGAAATCAGACAAATGCGCGAGACGGATGCGCTATCGAACGTATAATGTGGAGACACCATTGTTACTTTATACTTGATACGCAAGCTAGAGAGCGCTGAGAATACAGAGCTTGAATCGGCTGTTTCGCGGCCCATAGCTCGTCTCGGCTCGGACGTAACGACTAGCCGAGGCGCGCTCGCGATGTCACCAGGATTGCACGGATACTAACTGGTCTGTGATGCAATCCCGACTCTCGGACCGCTTTTCCGACACAGGGATCTTCCCTGCGGGCTCGCTATTTGATTATCGTCGGACTGACGACGCAGTTTTGGCGGCGGCTCGATCTCTAGTTACGATTATTGGAGGTTGCTCCATTCCTAGTCACAATTATTGGAGGTACAAGCTGCCGTGTTGTTGAGACTTAACCTTGCTGAGCGGTGCGAGAGGGGGCTGTTCTGTGTCCGCCGGAAACTCTTGAGGAAATACCTGGACTGTGTGGGAGGGGGAAATATTTCAGTGTGATTCCTCGTTGACCACAACGACTGTCCCAATCGGGGAGTTTTGCGCACACATGCCACTCACTTGGTGTACCACCTCAGTTTCGTTCGAGATTCGCCGAGATGTGCTGGTGGTAAATGATATTCTTCGCTTGGTGAAAAATCGTTCGCGAAGCAAGCCTTCGGGGTTCCGCATCGCGAAACCGGGTTTCCTCGCGAATTTCAACACCACAAACATTGACCGACGGGGAGGAAATTCGTACGGACGTGATATATACACCACACTGTCAAGAGATACAATTGAGAATCGTAATAGGTTCACAACAAGCATGATCTTGGATAGATGTGTTGGAACACGGGGTTCACATAACTTTCAGGTGTAAGGGTGAACAACTTCAACCATCGACCTCAGCTACCTTCTCCTCAGTTAAAAATCACATTCTTATTTGACCAGCAACTCCAAGCAGATAAATAGCTACCGATGCCAAACGGCAAAGCTTATGCCCCATCACAAAACACTCACCCTGCATATATTAACAGCAACTGTGAAATCCATCACTCACATCAAAAGACAACAATAATGAGGGCTAGCACGGAAACTATCATTGCATTGATGTAGAGGGCTCTCACAAACACTGGCGAGGCAGGTTTGGGTGTTGGTGGTGGCGATGGTGAAGGTGGTGTTGGTGGTGGTGGTAGTGGGGATGGTGGGGATGGGATGGACGGGCTGCTGGAAGGTGATGGTGATGATGGCCCTGGTGATGGTGGCGCTGCAGGTGGGGGTGTTGTTGGTGCTGCAGATGGTGGTTGAGTTGGTGGAGGTGGCATTGGTGAAGGCACTGGTGCTGCTGATGATGGTGCTGCAACTGATGGTTCTGCTGCTGGTGGTGCTGCTGGTGATGGTGGTGCTGCTGCTGGCGGCTGGATCGGCGGGGCTTGAGGAGCTTTGAGGTTGGTGTAGCAGGCCGGGAATGGGGGAAAAAGGAATGACAGATTCCAATCATACGACAAGCCATTGAGCAACGGGCAAGACTATGCAGCGCCCGGGGAAAAAATAAGAAGAGAAGAAATTGCGGAGCTAGGTGACACGGAACGAATGAAAGAAGGGTGCATGAAAGGGGACATGGAACAATGGTTT